TGCAGCATTGGAGTGGCTCCAAGAGATGGAGCGTATTTTTCAGGTTATGGAATGCGATGCCAACATGAAGCTCCTATATGCGGCCATTATTTGAGAGGCATTTTCTGCAAAAGTACTTCCCTGAAGAAGCCAGGGAAAGGAAGAAGAGTGAGTTTGAAGACCTCCGGCAGGGAGGCATGACTGTGGATGAATATCTCAGCAAGTTCAACCGCTTGGCAAAATATTCTTGTTATGGTAGAACTCCCCTCACTCCAGAAGACAAGGCCTTTCGATTCAGGAAGGGTCTGAATGATATGATAGCAGACAAACTGGCGGGTCATTGCACCAGAAATTTTGTGGAGTTGATCAAGCAGTGCCAGAATATTCAGGAGCACTATCGTACCAGGGGAAAGGAAGCAGCAGGAAAGAGCTTCAGTGGGAGGACTACGCCCTGGAAGGGTAAGGGCAAGGGTTTGCAAGCACAGCAGAACACCAAGTTTAAGAAGACTCCCTTTGTGAAGAATGGAAGCGGAATGTTTAGTGCAGGGAAGATTCCCACTTGTGCCAAGTGTGGGAAGATGCATACAGGTGTTTGTCGACTGGGGCAGAATGTTTGCTTCAGTTGTGGTCAGGCAGGTCATTATTCCAGAGAGTGCCCCAAGAAGACGGGGCAAGTTGCAGCCATTCAGGCGATCCCTATTCAGTCCGTGCCTACTCAGAGAGCCATAGAGGAGCCTATGGCGCCCACTAGTGCCAGGGTATATGCAGTGACACAGCAGGAGGCAGAGAGGTCTCCAAACCTTATCAGAGGTACTATTCTTATCAGAGGATATGCTTTTGATGCCATGTTTGATTCTGGAGCTACCCACTCCTTCATATCGGAATTTGTTGCTAATGGGGTACATTTACCCATTTGTGAGTTCACGCCTCCCATGGTAGTGAAGACTGCCACCGGAGACATTGTTTCTACTTCCTTGAAGTGCAAAGAAGTCAGATTCATATATGAGCAAGAAGAGTATATGGTGGATTTGATAGTGCTTGAGGGCATGAATCTACACATTATCTTAGGTATGGATTGGCTGGTCCGATATGGTGTGATGCTAGATTGTTGTAGCAGAAGGGTTTTCTTTGCTGCAAAAGGAGAAAAACCGGACAGTTTGTACTTGACGGCACAAAAATTAAATAAGGCTCTAAATGAGGGAGATGCAGGATACATTATCCTGGGAGGACTCGTAGGAGACTCCAAAGAACCTACTGCTAATATTCCGGTTGTATGCGAGTTTGAAGATGTATTTCCGGAAGAAATTCCTCATTTTCCACCTGAGAGGGAGATTGAATTCTCAATTGACTTAGTACCTGGTGTGGGGCCTATCTCATTGGCTCCATACCGGATGTCACCAGTGGAGCTAGCTGAGCTGAAGAAGCAGTTAGAAGAATTATCCCGCAAGAACTTTATCAGACCGAGTGTATCTCCTTGGGGTGCACCAGTCATCTTCGTGAAAAAGAAGGATGGGACTATGAGGTTGTGCACTGATTATCGACAGTTAAACAAGGTAACAGTAAAGAACAAGTATCCTCTACCACGCATTGATGATCTGTTGGATCAGCTCAGGGGTGCTTCAGTGTTCTCAAAGATTGATCTTCGTTCCGGATATCACCAGATTCGGGTAAAAGCAGAGGATATTCCGAAGACGGCTTTCCGATCTAGATATGGGCACTATGAGTATCTAGTGATCCCATTTGGGCTTACTAATGCCCCGGCCGTGTTCATGAGTTATATGAACCGAATTTTCAAACCACATTTAGATCAGTTTGTTGTGGTATTCATTGATGATATTCTGATCTACTCCAAAAGTAAGGAAGAACATGCAGAGCATTTGAAGATAGTTCTACAGATTTTAAGGGAGCATCAGTTATATGCCAAACCATCCAAGTGTGAGTTTTGGTTACATGAGATCCAGTTTCTTGGACACGTCATATCATCTACAGGAGTGGCTGTTGATCCGAGTAAAATTGAAGCTGTGCTGGATTGGGAGAGACCCAAGAGTGTTACTGAGATCCGAAGTTTTCTGGGTTTAGCAGGATACTACAGGCGGTTTATTAATGGATTCTCCAGAATTGCCTTGCCATTGACTAGGTTGACCCGAAAAGGGGTGCCATTTGCATGGACCCTTGGGTGTGATGTGAGTTTTCAAGAATTGAAAGATAAGTTGACTACCGCACCGGTTCTGATTCTTCCTGATCCGGAGAAGAGATTTGAGATCTATTGTGATGCATCCAAGTATGGATTAGGGTGTGTGTTGATGCAGGAGCGAAAGGTAGTGGCCTATGCTTCTAGACAGTTGAGACCACATGAAGAGAATTACCCTACTCATGATCTTGAGTTAGCGGCCGTGGTTTTTGCATTGAAAATATGGAGACACTTCTTGTATGGTGCTACCTTCACAGTTTTTAGTGATCACAAAAGCTTGAAGTATCTATTCGATCAAAAGGAGCTTAATATGAGACAAAGGAGATGGATGGAATTCCTGAAGGATTATGAGTTTGACCTTCAGTATCACCCTGGAAAGGCGAATGTAGTGGCTGATGCCTTGAGCAGAAAGACCACGGGTGTGGCTAGCATGATGATTGCAGAGTATGATTTGATTGAGGAGTTCAGGGATTTGCGAATTTCTGTGACACCATTTGAGACTTCATATTTCATGACTACGGTCGAAGTCCGAAATTCGTTAATGGAAAAAGTTAAAGCGGCCCAAGTGCTTGATGAAGGGATCCAAATGATGAAAGAGCAAGATTTTGTGTTCACCGATGCTTCTCATGTGAAATACTACAAAGATCGGTTAATTGTCCCGAAGGGACCAATGGTAGAAGAAGTGTTAACAGAGGGTCATATGGGTAAGTACACCATCCACCCAGGTGCAACTAAGATGTACCAAGATTTGAAACAGAATTTTTGGTGGTCTGGGATGAAGAAAGACATAGCCCAGTTTGTGAATAAGTGCCTTATTTGTCAGAAGGTAAAAATTGAGCATCAGAAGCCTTCTGGTTTGCTACAACCATTAGATATTCCGGAGTGGAAGTGGATGAGTATATCCATGGACTTTGTTGTTGGATTACCAAGAAGCCAGGCTGGATTTGATTCCATATGGGTTGTGGTTGATAGGTTGACTAAATCCGCCCATTTCATTCCAGTCAAGACGACCTTCTCCACAGAGCAGCTAGCCAAACTATATGTTAGAGAGATTGTGAAGCTTCATGGCATTCCCGAAAGCATAGTTAGCGATCGGGATCCGAAGTTTACTTCACGCTTTTGGGAAGCGTTACATGAGGCCTTTGGTACTCAATTGAGATTGAGTACTGCTTATCACCCGCAGACAGATGGTCAGACAGAGAGGACCATTCAGACACTGGAGGACATGCTGAGAGCGTGTGTGCTTGAGCAGGGTAATACTTGGGACAAGTACCTGCCACTGGTTGAGTTCTCCTACAACAACAGTTATCATGCCAGTCTGGGCATGGCTCGTTATGAGGCCTTGTATGGCCGTAGGTGTAGAGCACCTACTTGTTGGACGGAGATCGGAGAAAGACAGTTATTGGGGCCAGACTTGGTCCAAGAGACTACGAAGCAGATTGAGATGATCAGAGATAGGCTGAAGAAAGCCCAGAGCCGTCAGAAGAGTTACTATGATGCCAAGCACAGACCCCTTGAGTTTTCTGAAGGGGATCATGTATTCATCCGACTATCACCTACTACAGGTGTTGGGCGTGCCTTGGGAGTGAGGAAGTTGAGTCCACGGTTCATTGGGCCCTACCAGATAATAAAGAGGGTCGGACCGGTGGCGTATCAACTTGCTCTACCTCCCAACTTGGCGAATTTACATGACGTTTTCCATGTGAGTCAACTCCGCAGATATATATCTGATGATTCACACATTGTACAGTATGATGACATAGAGGTTAAGAAGGACCTGAAGTTCGTTGTTGGACCTTCTAAGGTTCTTGCTCGAGATGAGAAACAGCTTCGAAATAGAGTTATTCCCATGATCAAGATCCAATGGGAAGGATTGACACAAGAGGATGCCACATGGGAGCGGGAGGATGATATTCTCCGGCAATATCCCGATTTTGATATCAGGTATGATCTGATTTTGAGGACAAAATCTTTTAAAAGGTGTGGTGAATATAATAACCCTAATTATATGACTTTTAAATTAGAGGGTTATAATGAGGACCTTATAGTCATAAATGGAATGAGCATAAAATTATAAGAATTTTGATACCCATATTGAGGTATTATGCACAGATGAATTTTTATCTGTTAAATTTGACTGCTGACGTAATAACAGTTAGTAGAATAGCTCCAAGTTAGCAAATTATAGTTAGAGAGCTAATCTAATGATATAAACATCATGAATGAGGTTAGGATATGATTTGGTGAAGATTGATACCCATATTGGGGTATTTTTGAAAAGTCACTTCTGCCGGGTATTTTGTACTGCTGTAGCAGCATCCGGTATCCCGGAACAGGAAAAAGATAAGAAAATAGAAATAAAGACCAATATATGCCTAACAAGTCATAATTAGACCAAAAATGTTAAAGTTAAGAAGATTATGAAATCCGGGTACAGTTAAGAACACCGGTAAAGACTACAGTGCAATTAAACAACTGTTAGTGGATCTGTGACCTACTAATCAAATTTTTAAGTTATGAACATGATAATTAGACAAAATTAATGTTAAGTACTTAAAGTTAGAGTCTTGAGAGTTTTCGGGTAAAAATTTGACGACGGATCAGTTAAAAATTACACCGGGTCTCACTAAAGGACGAATATCACTTAAGTGACATGGCACCCCTCATTAGGGCACCCCTCCTCTCCTTCCCTTCCATTTCTGATCAGCAGCCCCTTCACCTCCTTCTCTCTCTAAGTTTCAAATTTTGAAAACTCTCTCACTTCTCTCTAAGATTTCTTCACCTAAATCTCTCTAAACCACCAAACTTCCTTCACAAAGGTTCCCCTCACTCTCCTCTTCACAACCATACCATTTTCATGGTGTGAATCAAAAATTTCGTGTCCCTTATCATCCCAAACAGCCATGGTTTTGTGGAGAGCAAAGGCTATGGAGTTGTGTTCTTGAGCTCTCTTGAAGAATCACACTTGCTTGCTTGTTTCCTTTGATTTTTGGGTAAGTGTTCTTAAATTTTTTTCATGAAAAATATCATCTTTTCTTCTTATGTTCTTGAGCCTAACTCATGAGCATGTTCATGAAGGTGTGTGCTTGCCTAAAGGTGTGTTCTTGGTGGAAAAAGGTGGAGACTTGAGCTAAAGGAGAAACCTTGAAGATGTAAGCTCCCACTTGGGAAATATGAACCAAAAAGCCTCCCTTTTTCTTGTTGAGTGCCTTGGTTTTGATATGTTCATGAGGAGAATGTTGTTTAAAATTTCGTAATGTCATGGTTTGATGATGATTCTTAAGGGTGAGTTTGTTTTGAACCATGGAATGATGGATTGAATGACTAAAGGTGCCACCTTTGGACCTTTGAGTGATGTTCATGTAAAAAGATGACTATGAACTCAAAAATGGACCATGAACATTTCAGCCATATCATGTAAGGATAGGGTTTGATGACAAAAAAATGTGATTAAGTTGTTAAGTGTGGAAAAATGATTAGAAAGATTAACTAGGTGGGTTAACTCTAAGTAAAACTCACTAATCATGATTAATAATGGCTAAAAATCCTAATTAATATAGCTAATCAAATCTGCCCCATAAAGTACATAAGGGTTTAGTTGTGTTAAAATTAAGGAGATGATGAATTAGGTGATTAATTAAGGGTAGAGATTAATTAACAAAAGTAATCAAGGATTTAACTCTAAAATTGGAAATCAAAAGTAATTAAGGTTTGTTAAGTAAACACATTTAAGGCTAAGTAACCAGTTTTTAGGCAAAATTGGGGAGAGCATATCTTCCTCCACAGAGGTCATATAGGGATGTGCCTTATATCAAATTGAAGATTGAGATGTTATCTACGTGGTGTCAAAATTTGGTATCAATTGAAGATATATTCCATTCTGTATGTTCGTTTGAGTGAGGACTGCACAGGGAGGCATGTGCAGGGGCGCTGTACATGGCTGACACTTCCATGAATTTTTTCTCCCTCAATTATTACTCAAATTAGGCTCATAATATGTCTAATTAAATATAAAGGTGTCTAGTTGTCTACATAAAAATTTTAGAGCAATTGATTTAGTATAATTTCCATAATCGCAGAAATGGTAAAGGATGTTTAGGGCCCTGTTCGGAGTTGGCAAACAGCTTTGTTTGTCCAACTTCAAATGGTGATAACCGGAGCTAGGAAACTTCAAATGAGGCATATGATACCTTTTTGGAAAGGTAATTGAGTCTAGATTAACATACTAAAAGATGAGAATTTTATAACAAGTGAGTCACGCCCAGTAACTAGAAAACAGAAACATGTACAGTTATGGAAAAACCGTAAAAGTGATATTTAAGCTAAGTGGGCTTAGGGGAACCCTTAGTAACTTATAATAATCATAAATATGACTTGGATGAGTTGAAAATAATCTAAGTGAGCCTTGCATGTGATTCTAAGCTATGTAAGTAATTGAAGATTAAAGTGGCTTGTAATAATGCACTAAAATATGTAATAAGTAATAATTGGTCTAGGCTTGTAATGGGCATATTATTGGCATATGAGTATGAAAAGTGGAATCATTAAATGATTAAGTCGTGGATATGACTTGATTAATTAATATGTAATTAATGATGTGAATGGTTCCTACTCTAGGTGTGCCTAGAGAACCGTGCACTTGAGGATTTTGTTGGAGCATACGTATTATATTGGAGTGTGGGCTTGTGCTAAGCTCCCTAAGGTAAGCTCCTAGTTCTAGTTGACTCCTCTCTCTTGTGGCCCCACCATGATGGTGGGCATTATGGTTATATTGTATGAAAGTATATGGTATGATGTATATGTGCATTCATTCACATTCATATAGATGTTATATGATCTTGATGTTATGATGATGCACTGATGATATATGTTATGAGGATCCTGGCCAGTGATCATGGTATGTAGGCTGCCTATGACTTGACTCTGGGAGCTATTTCATACTGAGGTTGTGTTGACTGTCTATGGCTTGACCCTGGAAGTCACACATGTGTAACCGTCTATGGCTTTGACCCTGGGGTTACACAAGGATGATATGATGATGCTATGTTTATGCTGTATGTCTGTATTATATGCTTTATATCTGACTTGTTATGCAGGAAGTGGGCTCAGGGGTTAGAGGATCCTCTATGAACCTTGAGCTTACTGAGATGTTGTTATCTTACCCCGTTTGGGGACATCATTTCAGGTACCCAGAGTAGTGGTGATGCTTCTAGGGGCAAGGCCCCCGCATTGGAGTAGTTGATGATGCAGCTGATGATTTTATATTATGTTTAGATTTGATGTTGGCATGTAGACTTGTTAACATGCTTAATTATTTTATGGAGATTATTGTATGTATTTATTTAGGCTCATGATAGTATTCTTAGAGCCATGGATTATTTACTGATACTTTTATACTTCGAATTAATATAGACTTGATGCATGTATTCAGTTAATTTGGGCATGGAGCCTTATTAGTTGTATTGACCCATTAAGGGGATTGCAGTCCGTGTGGGACTTGCAAGCTATCTGTTTAAATTGTTGTATTAATTAGGTTATCTGTATGTGTAGAATCATGTTTCTAGTTATCCGAAATACAGCCGTTATGCTGTCCGTGAGACTCCGTCAGGAATGACACTTGATGTCATATCTTGATGGTCAATGGCCACTAATACTGGCTCATGGGATTAATTAGTAGATGTATATTTAGATTTACGCTTTCGCAGTATCTGACGTGAACGTTTTTAGAAATGTTTTTATGAAATGTTTTGGAAAAAGTTTACTCGTATTTTTATAAGATGCTTTATTCCTTTTCAAATAAAGTCTTCCGCTGTGAATGTTAAATATCATGTATGTTAACAACCGGAGTACTACGGGGTGTTACAGAATCGAAAGCCAACTTTGGCATGTATATGACAAGGAAATAGAAGTTTTTTATTCAATCAGAAGGATTTTATCATACAGAAATTATTATATATTCACCATGATTATAAATCATTCTGGTTTTTTTACACAAACAAGTATAAATACACTTTTCTTTACCCGCTCATAATAATAATTTTCTATCAATCTTTTTTTTCAACGATAAATTAAAGAGAAAAGCGTTTGTCGTTTTAAATGATATAAAATTATGTCATTTTAAGAGAAAAAAGATATAAAAAAATAATTTTTTATTTAAAATTTAAATTAAAAAAAATCACCCACTTTCTCCCCCATGATTTTCATTTCTTGTGTTTATCTATCTCCTAAAATGTCATAACTTATGTCCTTTAAAAGGACAAACATCAAACCCTAAATCAAAATGCCTCAATTTTCAATTTTTGAGAATTTGAAATCTTGGAGCTCTATTGAAAAATAGTTTTCAGCAAAGTATATATTTCACGAAGAAAAATAATGATTTTTTATTTATTTCATAAGGAGTTCCTTGGTAAAAAAAAATAGAGAGCAATTTCGAAAAATTTGTGTGTAAAAGGAAACAATATTAAAAATAGAGAAAAATTTTGAAACTGTGCATGTATGAGAAATGGTGAGTTCAGGTAATAGCTCAAACAAAATTAAGAAAAAGGAAAGAAGAAATTTTTAGTAAACCTGAATGATATCATATATGATTGAATTAATAGAGCAGAAAATTAATAGTAATTAAATAAATTGTATATATTAAGCGATTTAAAAATTGAAAATGATTGAATAAAATAAAGAAATTTTTAGAAGAAACTTTTGAATATAACGCTGATTTTGTGAGATTTGATAAAATTTATTTTAATAGCTGATGAGAATAATAAGAGCATTTTAATTTATTTAATTTTTATTATTAATTTATTTATTATATATTTATATTAATCACTAAAGATGTTATTATGTTTCAAAATTTTATGTTATGCATGACTGCAGCAACATATAAAACAAAATAATTACAAGGAGCAATACCAACACATGAATGATTAAATTTAATTTGATTTGCCACACCAAAAAAAATTGATTTGATTTGAATATAATGCTGGTCTTATGAGATTTGGTAAAATTTATTTTAATTGCTGATGACAATAATAAGAGCATTTTAAATTTTTATTATTATTAATTTTATTTATTATCTATTTATATTTATGCATGACTGCAGCAACATATAAAACAAAATAATTACAAGAAACAATACCAACACGTGCATGATTTAATTTGATTTGATTTGAAAATAAATTTTTTTATATCTAATTGTATAAATAAATAGAAACTTTAATAGAATTATTTTTCTTTATCTCAAAACAAAAAGAAAATCCTTTTACTCGTAATTCTGCCTCTATATATATGGATGTGGTCTGAAATGTAAATTGTTGAGTGAAGAGTCATGGATTACTACCTGGAAATACCAACTTATTTTGATTATCTGGAATTTTTGGAGGAAAGCAAAGAGAATGATGTTAATGCTTTCTTCGCGAAAATTTCATCTTATTCTCAATACTTGAGTTTTATGGAATTATGGTTGCCAAATTTGGAATCGATTCCATGTACTCCACCATCGTCACCACCTTCAACTCATCTTTTCTTTGATCAAAAACCTCCTCTTCCCTCTTCCTTCGTTCCCTCTGTTTTATCCCTTAATTAAGAGTCTTTGGCAACACCAACCATTGATGACTCAGTTGTTGAAACCAAGCCCTTGATACAAGATTTGAATTTTCATCCTATGTAACTTTCCATGCCTAGGGCTGGCAATATGGGCTGGCCCGCCCCGGCCCGCCCAAAATGGGTTGGGCCAGCCCGCCCCGTTTTGACAAAATGGGTTGAACTTTACAACCCGTCCCGTTTTATGAGTGGGCTGGCGGGCTGCGGGCCAACCCGCCTAAAATAAAAAATTCATAAAATAAAATAAAAAACATAAAATTCTACATAAAAACACTTAAAAAAATCTGCATAAAAACACACAAAAAATTTGCATAAAAACACAAAAAAATCTGCATAAATACATATAATTGACGTTAACTTATATGGGTAGGTGACGTTATTGGATGGAAATTGATTATAAAATATAGCAAGGCAAATGAATAACATGTATTAGCTTAATATAGGTGACGTTAGCAAGGCAAATGTATTAGCTTTGTTAACATGTAAAAATATAATTATAAAATTTTTGTTACACAGCCCTACTTTGCCCAATGTATAGGTCCATGTAATTCTAATTTTACATTTCAACTTTCAGTAATTCTAATTTTTTTACTATTAAAAAAAATTAAAAATTAAAAAAATTAAAAATAGTAACCCAACGGGCCAACCCGGCCCGTTTTCCTATCAACCCGTTTTAACTCATTTGTAAACGGGGCGGGTTACATTGGGTTAGTGGGTTGGGACTCATAACCCAGCCCGCCAACTTGAGTGGGTTAAACGGGCTTGGCCCATATTGCCAGCCCTATCCATGCCCTTTAATCACACTCCAAGAGTATCTGGTTACAATCTTCATCATCATGGTGTTCTTGATGATGGGCCGAATAACAATGGAGGAGAGAAAATCAAAGTTCTTGAACCCAAGATCATCAATCCCATGAAAAGCACCATCAACAGTCCAAGAACAACATGCCAACAACCCAAATCCAATGATTCGATGTAAGAAGTTCAACACAGAAGCCAAAGACCCAAGCGAAAACGGAGAAGACCCAATTATTGGGATGATTACATACATTGAAGTATGACTATGTTATGAGAATGTTGGGGTTCTGTTGTATTAATCTTAGTCGTTAATTTTATTCATATCCAACGACTTTAATTTATTAAATATATTTAGGGATTAATTTTTTTATTTTACAACCGTTAGATATAATTTTTTTTTCTGTTATTTTTGTTTGATCAAACATCTAATCTGACAATAACATCAATTATGGTAAAACCTAGTTTCCGGCTAAGAGACTTGATTATATAATACCGTCTTTTCTTTTTTTCTTATTTTTCTTTTGTTGTGATCTTCTGTTTATGAACTTTTGATTTCCGTGAGCTTTCGAGCATCAATCAAAGGATTGTTCTAACTTAACGACTCCACTAATTGTTTGAAACTAAAAAATACATTATGTTTCTGAAGCTAAAATTATGGTATGAAGATATATTGATCTGATGATTATCTTTGAAACATATGCAAGTTTATTTAACGTTATTATACAGTTAGATGACACCTTTTTTTTTCTTTCGCCTGGTTCAAATAGGCCTTCATTCAGTTGAATAAATAAATTTAGTTTGGTGAGATACACTAAGAATTCAGATCACGATAAAAAAAAAATTGTTTCCTTATTCAGAAAGTTCGCAAATTTTGTTTCCTTATTTTTTTTAATGGAGAGAGAAAGGAAAAAAAATATCTCATAATAGGACAAGATTTGATTGGATATACTTGTTTAATAATTTTAATTATGTGTAAACATGAGACATTTAAAACTGGAATCAATTACAATCATGACAGAATTAAATTTAGATATCTTTTATTATTTTAGTTAATTATATGATTTATTTTGTTTTTATAATATTTTAAATTTCATATATAATTATACTGAAAAACTTGCTGAGATTTATAATCAACGTGAATACACAATATTTTCTATATGATAAAATCCTTCTGATTGAATAATAAACTTCTATTTTGTTGTCATATCTTGCCAAATATGGTTTTCGATTCAATCAATTATTTATACAATTATCAGATATTCTTGTTTAGAAATTCATGTGTGTTTCATGCTTCATAAGTTATACTGATATTGAAATAATTGATTATCATTAATCAAATAAAATAAAAATAATATATTATTGAATTAATTTTTTTGTATTCACAATAGCCTATAAATAAATGCTTTTAAAAAATTCGATTTTTTTTCTCTATAGTATAAACAAATTCCATCATGCGCATACAATTTAAGTTAAATTTTCTTGTCAATTGTTATTTTATATCAATAAAAAATTATAATACTCATATAATTTGTTGATTATATATTTATTTCAAAAAAAAATTTCAAGGGTTTATTAGTTAGTTAAAACTGATATCTCTATTATAAAATAAATAATCATTTGGATACCAAAAAAAAGAATAAATAAATAAATAAATAATCATTTAAGTTATATATCTATAAAAACTATTGTTGTTATTATAAATAAGTTAAAACTCTGCTTCCCTCATATCGAAAAATAGGTCACTTTTTTTGTATATAAAAAAATCAATGGGCCCCACTTTATTTGCCAGGAGGTGGTAGAACTTCTCTCATAGACTCATACTACTATATATATATATATATATATATATATATATATATCCGGTTCAACCGGTCCAACCAGTGATCTAGTATCCTGACTGCGTCGATAACCTATTTTTATATATATTTATATATATCCGATTCAACCGGTCCAACTAGTGATCTAGTACCCCGATTGGGTTGATACCTGGGTCAGATTTAAT